TAGGTTGCCCAGTCTTCTGTGTGCCCAGCGGGGAGTTTCTCATCTGGTATCAGCTACGGATTGAAGTTCTGGGTTTTAGCCTGCCACTTTTGGACTCTCACTTGCTGAGGTGTTCCTGCGAGTATCACTGTAGATCTTAGAAAGCTATTTCTTGATTTAAGGCATTGGCTTGCTGGTTGATATCCAAACAGAGGATGGGCCGGAGATGCCACTGCCTTGGTCCTTTCATTACTGGCTGCTACTTCCCGACGGATGTCAGGTGGTGCAATACCAGCTAAACAATATAATTTCTTTAGTTGTGTGGGGCGTAGATATCCTGTAAATATAATCTAAATATAATCTAAAGTTGTACAGAACTCAAAGGGATGCCAAATAGAGTCAAAACATACTGAAGTGGCTGCAATAGTGTGATCCTACACTTTAGTATAGTGCTTGGTACACAACAAAAAAGGTTTGCTTTTTGGACTTCTTGGATTTCCAATATTTCTGGGCTATGATTGAATCTGTGGATGCAGAACTCAGGGGTGTAAATGGCTATCTGTAATTATTTTAAAATAGCTGTTTTGTTATTTTTATAGTGTTTGTTGAAAATGTGTTTTTTTCCATTTAAAATCCAATTTCTTTAATGAATAGATTGCACGATTTATAATGTGGTTTGAGTGATTTTATTTAATGAGTATTGTTAGGATCTGGGTTTTTTTAAAATCTTTGACTAATCCCAATTGGTTATACTGTTTCTTAATTAGTTTATAGTAATTCCTATGGATATGGTTTCATCATTACATACATTTCAATGGAAAAAACAAAATGTGGATGGTGGTGTGGTTCAAATTTCATGAGAAAATTTCATACAAGAAAGCGGCAGCTTCATGAAATGTGTTCTGTTAAGTTTTCCCTGCCTTAAATTTAATCACATGTTCCATCGCTATAGATCATTTTGGTGTTTCAGAGTAATAATTATCACTGTTTCAAGATTTTTATCCAAGCAATGCCTGATTTTATCAACAACTGGTACACTTTAGGAATACAGTGAATTAAACAATTCATGCTTTCATTAGGAGATAATTGCTCACAACCTCTGAGGATGCCTACCATAGATGCGGGCAAAGCATCAGGAGAGAATGCTTCTAGAACATGGCCATATAGCCCAAAAAACCCACAACAACCCAGTGATTCCAGCCATGAAAGCCTTCGACAATACAATTGCTAATGTCCCTTAATTATTTTATCAAGTGTGTGTGTATGTGTCTGTCCTCGGGTTTTTTTGTTTTTGTTTTCTGATTCTGTTCAAAGTTCTATTAGAGCACCTGTCTCAAAACTGATATATATTTTTTATTCAAAGTATGCAGTGGTGGGTTTTTGGTTGATTTGTGTGTGTGTGTGTCAGGAGTGGCTTGAGAAACTGCAAGTCACTTCTGGTGTGAGAAAATTGACTGTCTACAAGGATGTTGCCCAAGGGACACCCGGATGTTTTACCATCCTTTGGGAGGTTTATGAAAGAAGCTGGAGTTGACAGATGGGAGCTCACCCTGCTTCCCCAATTCAAACCACCGACCTTTCAGTCAGCAATCCTGCCACCGTGGCTCCTGGGCATTTGTGGTATGATTTGGCTTTTGTCATGAGGAGCTTCCATTTCCCCCCCACATGCTGTCATTTAATGGAATGGTTTCATACAGTATATTTTTATTGGAGTTTCTTGTTTCCCTACTTAATATGATTCCATTTATAGTAAATAAATACCACACCACTATTTTCAATACTTCCCACATAATTCAAAATGCAATTAATTTGCAATCTTCTGCTCAAAATATTGCATTATTTTGTCTTCCACTGTTTTCACTGTTTTGTTTTGTTTTGTGTTTTGGCAACAGCATCTCCAAGAAAACATATCCTGCTATTTCTTATAATTAATACAATTGTTGCAGATATAAGTCCTTGGCCTGAAGCCATATAGATCTTATATGTAATTTGACGAAACACTGAAACAATGGTTGGGAAATTAATATACAATCAATTTTACATCTGTTCAACTATAAAAACCACTTTCTCTGGGATACAGATACAAAGAGCACCAGGTGTTTGCTATGTTATATAATAAAAAATATTGGTAAATGCTTTTTTAATTAGCTTGCCATTGTGCTTTCTCTGCATCTTCTACTTCTGATCACTAATTAAACTGGAATCCTTCCACCAATAATATTCTGGTTTGTTTGTTGGTTTATTTATCTAGCACAGCAAAGTTTTAATAAACCTGTAGAATAATTTTTGGATAATCATTACAGAGGAAGGAACTGGCCAGACCACCTTTGAGCATTCTTTGCCTTAAAAAGCCCTATGGAATCCGTTGACAAACAATCTGAAAATACATACACACACACACTATCCCAGCAGACAACTGTGATAGTAAAAATGTATGTCTCATAAGGATCTCTAAATATAATTTCCCCTTTTCTACAAAGATCCATTTCTTTAAAAAAACAACAACAACACAAACTTCTCCAGATATTGAAGTGCTTGGACTTTTCCTTTTAGCGAACACCCCTTGCCATTAAGGAGACTATTTTTATTTCTGTCAGGGCATTTTTTTTTTTGTCGTGTCAGGAGTGACTTGAGAAATTGCAAGTCGCTTCTGATGTGAGAGAATTGGCCGCCTGCAAGGACGTTGCCCAGGGGACACCTGGATGTTTTGATGTGTTACCATCCTTGTGGGAGCCTTCTCTCATGTTCCCCGCATAGAGAGCTGGAGCTGATAGAGGGAGCTCATCCACACTCTCCCTAGATTCGAACCTGCAACCTGTCGGTCTTCAGTCCTTCCGGCACAGGGGTTTAACCCACTGTGCTACCGGGCATGAATATGGTGTTAATGGTCTCCTATAGATTAGTTACTAATAATACATTTAAGTTCTCTCCTGATCTTTGAGTCCCAGTTTTCTATGATACACCAATCAGATACTTAACACTGAATAAAATATATAAACAGAACGACATTGTCATTCTGCCTATATGAGCCTTTTTTGTCAGCGGTCTCATACTTTGGGTATCTGCCAGATAATTTTTTCAGAAGGAATTTAGACATGGAGCCATCTCTCCTTCCTTCATCCCCCATGTCAGAGCAACAACATTTTCTCATAGGGAGCAGCTTTTGTGCATACTTAATGGTAATGTTCAAATCCACAATATAATAATAATAATATTAATAATAATAATAATAATAACTTTATTTATACCCCGCTACCATCTCCCCATGGGACTCAGTGCAGCTTACATGAGGCCGAGCCCACAATACAACAATACGAGCAATACAAGCAATAACAAATACAGTACAAAGCAATTAAAATAAATCTCATACACAAAAAGCATAAACATTAAACAGAATACAGTGCACATTTAAAATCTATAGCTGGGCCAAATGTAATTAAAGTTTAAAAAATAATGCTAGGCATGAACAAGATACAGGAGGTGGGGCGTTGATAGAGACATACAAGCAGTCCTAAATCGATATAAAGTGCTTTTTTGGGGGACATAATGCTAAGGGTTCATTGTTCTGGGAAGGCACACTGGAACAACCACGTTTTTAAGCTCCTCCTGAAGACTGCCAGAGATGGGGCATGCCTCAAGATGGGGTGAGCTCCTCTGTGTCAGCTCCAGCTCCCCATGCAGGGGACATGAGAGAAGCCTCCCACAGGATGGTAACATACCCAGGCATCCCCTGGGCAGCATCCTTGCATACGGCCAATTCTCTCACAGCAGAAGCAATTCCAATTCGCCTCTGACATGATAAAACAAACAAACCTATAATGCTCCCATGAAAAGGTTCCATGATCCACATAGTGCACTGATTGTCTAACATTTTCCATACTTTGAGAAATTCCATTTCCTCCCACTCTAGTTTACTCTTTGTAAAAGCACCCCTTCCTCATTGGTTTACTTAAGTTTCAGTTTTTTAAATACGCCATTCTACGTGATCCTTCATATTATGTACCATAGATAAACGAAATTTTCACAGTAGCTCTCCATAATGAAAGTTGCTATGGTGCTGAGGATCCCCTTAATTGACAATTTGGTCCCATTGTGTCTTTCTTCTGCTTATCTCAGATCCATTTGGCTGGACTTTCTCAAGTCAGGGACTTTCTGACCAACTTTAAAGATCATCTTCCTTCTCTTTATTTGTGTCTTGGATACTTTGTGAATTTTAACTAAACCAGGTGAAAAGGTTTGAGAGGTTGTTCTTTTTTAGCTTGTTTGTGCATATGATATAGATCACAATGTTGTGAATTACAGGCATATTAATAGAGAACTTCTACTATACCAGACTTCCAGAGTATTTAACTGTTCAGTTAACCAATTGATTTAAGGGATTCCTTTTTGGAGGTTTTCTTTGACATGTTTACCATCATAATTATATTCTCATTTTTTGTCCTTTTTTTCAACTGTCCCTGCTTTAATTTTGTTGTGTACTATCTTGTGAACTGGGGAAAAGATGGGATACAACAAACACATTTTTAAAACGTCTTCCCAATTGTAATTGTCCTGTGGCTGATGTCATTGCCCTACAGTTCAACTTGTAAAAACTCTATGGACTCTCTTCATTGCTTCTTTAATTTGTAGATCTGGGAAGAGTGCAGCAGAACAGTAAGATCAGAAATGGTATCATATTGCTTTCTTCAGCTGATTCCCTAAATTTCTTGCTGATGCTCATATTGGCCACTGACTTCCATTTTTAACACCACCCCATACAACATGCGACAGTTTCCTTTTTAAGCTTTGGAATGCCAACTTGGTGTCTATCATTTCAGGGACTTCTTTTTCCATTTTTACTATATCCTTGACTCAACATGTCCAGTCAGTCATTCTTGTCTGCCTTATAGTTTCTGGCCAATTTTGATTTAAATAATATTAAAATTGATTCAACTGACCTGTTGTGTGACCAAGAAACAGCCAGGTATCTTTTCTGCCACTTGCCTCTTCATTTCTTTAAATTTATTTCTTTCCTTCCAAAGTTTGCACCAATTCTATGTCTGCTTCATCTTCTGACCGAGCAGAACTGAATAGGTTGAGTGTAGAGAAAAAACACTGTTTGATCGGCACTCTTTGCATTTTTCAACTTGCAACCCTAATGTTTCTTTGCATTTCTAGTTTTATGCATTTCCATGTGGCATTTTTTCCTATAAAACCTGCAAAGATGGGGATCAGAGCTCCGTGCGAGTCTGCCATACTTGGATGGTGAGGTCACCACCGCCCACTTTGCCCTGGAGTGCAAGAGCACAGTCCAACTTTTGAACGTATAGGGTTACACTTGACAACATTGCACAGATGGTGAGGAGAGGGGGGTGGATGCACTAGGTCCAATGCTCCTTGGAGGTCTTGCAATGGCATAAAAGATCCTCCTCCAACTACATGGCTTCCAAATGTGTGAAGTATTTTGACCATTGGCCATGTGGAGAATGGCTGATAAAACTTGAAATCCAAAATATGTAGGGGACACCACATTGAAGAAGGTTTAAGAATAGGTGATAAACATTAGGAAATGGTTAATACTGGCTGAAACAGTAGCTTTTTATTTTGTTCCCTAGATGCTGCCAAACTACACCCTCCCAAATCTCTGACCACTATTTATTTATTTATTTAAAACATTTAAATCCCGTCCTTCTCAACCCCCAATGGGGGACTCAGGGTGGCTTACAATTGGCAATCATTAGATGCTGACAAAGAACAATTGCAGCACAGGTCAACAACATAAACAGGTCAACAACAGTAAAAAGATATATTAAAATTATGGCCCTTAAAATATTAACACATCCAAGTCTGAGTCCGCAAATCTAAATCATAGTCCAGAGTTCCAGTCCAAGGTCTCTTCATTGACAATTCTCAATACAGTTGTTGCTCAGCCAGCTGCCCAAATGCTTGATCCCAGAGCCGAGACTTGAGTTTTTTCCTGAAGGAGAGGAGAGAGTCGCCCTGATTTCACTGAGTAGTGCATTCCATAGATGAGTTGCCACCACTGAGAAGGCCCTGTCTCTCATCTCTGCCAGTTGCGCTTGCGAGGATGGTGGGATCGAGAGCAGCGCCTCCCTGATGATTGTAAGCTCCAAGGTGGGTCATAGAGGGAGATACATTCGGACAAGTAAACTGGACCGGAACTGTTTAGGGCTTTATAAGTCAAGATCAGCACTTTGAATTGTGCTCGGAAGTGGACCGGCCAGTGGAGCTGATGAAGCAGGGGGGTGGTGTGTTCCTTGTAAGTCATTCCGGTGAGTAATCTGGCCACTGACTGTTGGACTAGTTAGAGTTTCCAAACAGTCTTCAAAGACAACCCAACATTGCAATAATCTATTTGGGATGTAACAAGAGCGTGGACCACTGTGGCCAGATCAGACTCCCCAAGGTACAGGCGCAGCTGGTATTGGGCTTCTGGGTACTAAAACCCATCCATAGTTAGGGACACAAACAGGCCTGTAGACAAGAGGGTGGGTTAAGAATTCAAACCCCTACGTGGAAATATTTCAGGTTTAAAAACCTGATTTTCTCATCATTTTAACTGGTTAACCAATTCATAAGTAAACCAGGGTTTGTTTGTTTTTTAACCTGAAACATTTTGCGGGGTGGGATTGAACCCTTAAATCCTGCTTGCTCCGGCTACAGGCCTGGACAAGACCAATTCTTAAGTACTTTTTATTTCAAAAATAATGGCTGGGACAGTTGGGGGGGGGGGGGTCATGTGGCTCTCCAAATATTGATAGACTGCAATGTCCATCAGCTAGCATCCCAATGCCACATAATAATGGGAGTTGGCTATCCAACTCAATCTTCATGGCCATGTCTTCACCACACCTGAGATAGAGCATTATGCTGACTATATTTGGCAAGACGTCCCCTCAGAGGGCATCCTTTCCAATTTGACATGTTCCATAATATAAGCAATTCAGGGCATCATTGACAGTCAAGGGATAACCTCTGAACATGTACTTATCAGCTTGTGCTATATATATAGTTAAAGCAAAGGGTGATATTTGATGATGATTGTGGTGGTGATTTTAAAACCTAAAATCTTTTTGGCACTGTGCAGAGAGAAAACCAGACCACCCCTGCCAGCAAGCCTACAGTCTAAACAAGACAAATATGAGGCGGTTAAAGCACAGACTGGCTGACCATCTGTCAGGGATACTGTATTTGCACCTTGCTCTGTAGAACCCACACTGGCCAAGGGGTTGGATTGAATTACCCCTGAGGACTGTTGCAGGCCTGTTTTTTTTTTAGTTCTCAACACCTCCAAATTTCCCACATTTGTCTAGCCAAATAAAGGGAAACATTACAATGTGGAGCTATTAAAAACAATGCAGAAATGAAAAGAAAGCAATCGAGAAGGTAGGGAGATGAGTTCTGAGAAAGGTTATGCACAAGAGAGCATCAGAAGTAAAAGCAAAAAGAGAAATGAGTAATATAACAACAACAACAACAACAACACTTTATTTATATTCTGCTCTATCTCCCTGAAGGGACTCAGGGTGGATTCCAAACATAAAAGGCAAACATTCAATGCCCAAATACAACAACAATATATCTATACTAACAAAATTTTAAAAACCCAACATATAAACACAAAATTACAACTTTAACAACTAAAATTAAATAAAGGGGGATGCAGGAGGGAGAAAGCCTATAAAATACTAAATTCTGTTTACAATTAATGTGTAAAACAAAATAAATCTAAATCATGGAATACCAAACAAAGATAGTCGCTTCACCAGTTTCTCTTCCCAGTAGTCAACAATTAACAATCTGAAGGCGAATGAACACAGTGTTTTGGGAAAGACGTGCCTTAAAAGAGGTCTTAATTTTTCATGGTTTAGGTATCTCCAGATCCCCCATCTTCACTATATATGAGAGTAGCTCAATGGACAATCCAATCCAAAACCTAACATCAGAATTTAGAACCCATGTGAAGACCTATCTCTTCTGAGAGGCCTACCCAGTCAGTTTGAATCATGAATTTTAAATTCACTATATTTTAATATTCTGTGTATTTTAATATATGTACAATATTCTATATAATGATTATGTGCTTTATCTATGTTGTAATCCATGGGTAAGAAATTAAATTATTATTATTATTATTATTATTATTATTATTATTATTATTATATTAACATATGACTTGTGGTAATATTTTATGAGGTCAGTCCCAAGGCACAAACCTTTACACCAACAGTTAACATTTCAAGCATGACTTCAACATGTAACTATTATTTCAATTAGGTTGGGGTTTTTTTTGTTACTATCTTTGCTTGATGAAAAAACCGATATGAGCTGGTATGATAAACTCACCTTCAGCTTGAGATAATGAAAGGACCAGGTGGCCCTTGTGATCTCCTTCAATGTTATGGTTCTCTAACTTTGACCACCATAATGATCAAAGTTCAGAGATTCTGTGTCCCTCCAGACAGTTCATCCTGTGATTCACAGATACCATTGGTTACGTTGAATGAGTGGAGTTGATGGCAGCTGAAGGCCAAAGCATCCAGAGGTCCAAAGATTCCCCACCCTCAAAATGAAACTAAGTTGATGGGATTTCAAGAAACTACCCCACCCCCTTAAAAAATGGCAGATGCAACTTGATGCAAAATTACATTAGGTGTTTATAGAAGCACCCTTTACTATTGCTTGGCTGTAGTTCCAAATTCCCTTGCAGCATCCACTGAATTTGATAGCAGTTCTCTGGCTTAAGTTTTAGAGTCTGCTGCCAAGGACTCCACAGCGAGGAGAAGGAAATTTGTCTCCTTAGCAGAAAAGCCTAATCTATTCAGGTCAGTTTTTTCCCCTGCCTTTTGCTGGAATCCATCAGGCCATGGGCTCCTCTTGAGAGCAAACGAACTTTTTCTGACATTTTGGAAGACTGAAAAACTCCTACTTCCAAGAGCTGCCCGATTCCACACCACCAGTCACAGCTGAAAAGATTATTGTTCCACCCCCATTCCCTCAAAAAACAAGGAAAAATATGTCAAGAGAAGGGGCAAGTGACCTTTTTTCAAGCCGCTCTGCTGAGTATCAGCACTATTTGATACCACAGATGTATAAAAATAAATAGCCAAGGCCTGGGAAATGAGGGAAGGAGAGACTGGCTCTCGCGTTTGGCAAGCAGACTTGATCCCTGTGTAGTCTCAGTTGCTGAGGTTAACAGAGGATGGAGGGAATACAAAATGTCAATTCATTCTGCCTCGCCTCGCTCTGGAACGGATCCCGATGGAAGGAGCAGTATCGTCTTCTGATGAAGAAAACAGTTCTCCTGGCAAGCACAGTTTTCCGGAGTAATAACAAAAAGCCAACGCCATCCCTAGACAAAGATATCAACTTCAGGCAAATCAAAATTCCAATGTCCCCTTACTGTGAAAGGGTTTTCTTTTCCTAAACAATCCCTTCACATTTACACCGTAAGCAGGAATGGTTTCAGATGAGGTTAGTGTTTGCTTAAGGCAAGCTGAAGGAAATTTACTTGTTCCCCCAGGAAAGTGGTGATATTTTTCTCACAGATCAAGGCAGTCGCTTATGTATAGAAGTGTATATGTCTTCAAGTCGCCTGTCAACTTTTGGTGACCTCATGAATTTCATAGAGTTTTCATGTTTGCTTTGTTTGTTGGGTGACTTCATGTCATTTCCGACTTAGGGAAAATCTAAGAACAGAGTATTTGTGTCAAGATTCGTTCAAAGGGAGTTTGCCTTTCCTTTCCTTTGAGGCTGACAGTCAGAGCTTGACTTATACGTACAAAGTTTCAGAGTGCTTCGCCATTGCCACTTTCTGAAATATAGACTTCAGCTTTTGGAATTCCTTGTTGATCCCCCATCTCAATTCTAATCAGGACTTTGTTTATCTTCCACGAACAGCCAGGATATTGTTTGATTAGGGTATTTAGGTTAACTGTGGTCTTTTATATATCACCCCAAAATAAGGGGGAGTAGAAGGGTTGGGCATAGATCCTCACACATTTTTTCTTGTATTATTTTTATATGTACAGGGGCAAATTTAGGACTTTATTGCACAAAACTGACAAACCAGCAGAGAAGAAATGTTGTGTGATATCCGTTCTTGATCAACAAAGCTATCCTTAGCAAAACCCATCACAGCACAGTCCCTCATGCAATGCTTCTCTCCTCCACTCCTTCTCCCAGTAAAGAATGGTTTTAAACATATGTTTTATTGTTTTCTCTAAACTTCACAAAACTGAGATTGATTCAATGGGTTTACTCTATTTGGGACAGCAATTTGATTTAGCCCATTAATTACATAATCCAAGGAGGTTTTCAGTGCTTTTCATCACAATGGCTTCAAACTACAAGAAAAGAGATTCCACCTGGACATGAGGAAGAACTTCCTCACTGTGAGAGTTGTTCAGCAGTGGAACTCTCTGCTCCAGAGTGTGGCGGAGGCTCCTTCTTTGGAGGCTTTTAAACAGAGGCTGGATGGCCATCTGTTGGGGGTGCTTTGAATGCGAATTTCCTGCTTCTTGGCAGGGGGTTGGACTGGATGGCCCACGGGTTCTCTTCCAACTCTAGGATTCTATGATTCTATAATGGAGGAGACAAARAAAAGGTGACCTGTGTGTCAGCCTGCTCAGCCTACTCCCCAGGTTCTCATCATGGATGGGCAAGAACTCTCCCTGTTCTCTCCTCTGATAGTTCTTCATTGCTAAAGCTAAAGAGGTTATCTTTACATTTGKGGGGCGGGGGGAGGAATTTGCATCCATGCTATTTGCTTGCAAGGAGTAATGGGATAGAGATGAGTACCAAGAGTTCCCTGGTGTGTTCTTTCTTGGTCATGTCTACACTTTTGTTTCTTTATCAGCACTATTCTCAGGATTGATTTAATTTCCTCCTGTGCCCTTTCCTCACCCATCATCCAGTCATGAGGTCAATGTAGCAGGCTTTTCCCTTTTTCTCATCCACTCCCTAAACTGCTAAATAAAACAAAATCCACAAAAAGTGATATTTTTATTGGTCAATCAACATGCATATAATACTTCATGCAAGCTCCACTGGAAAAAAGAGGGAGAGGAGTCAGTTCCACCGTCGCTTGGTGCAAATGATCTCTGATGCTGGGGGGAATTGCAACAAGGATCTTGCTTCTGTTGTTCCAATGAGGAACGCTCATAGGGGTAAGAGAATATCAGTCAGGTGCTTCCTGGTCATTGGAGTGGTGTGTGGTTTCCGGGCTGTAAGGCCATGTTCTAGCAGCACTTTTTCCTGACATTTCACCTGCAGCTGCATCACAGATGCAGGTGAAACATCAGGAGAAAAAAGCTGCTAAAACACAGCCATACAGCCTGGAAACCACACAGCACCCCAGTGATTCCAGCCATGAAAGCCTTCAACAATACATTGACCACCACTGATTGCAACATCTGCTCTGCAATATGGGGATTGGGGGAGTCACACCAGGATCCACAATGTACTTCTGTAACTACCTTGTGTAACAAACTTGATTTTGCCATTCTATATAAGGGGCACCATTTAAATATGTCTTTGAATATCATGGGAGATGAGCATCTGCAGATTTTGTTATCTAAGTGGAATTCTGAACTCCCGTGGACATTAAAAGTCCACAATATTAGTTTTATGTCCCACAGATTTAGGGCACCTTAACCATTAATTAATTAATTAATTTTAGATACCTTATTTGTCCCACAACAGGAACCAAGGTGGCTTCCACAAACAATAAGTTAAAAACATGTGCCATGCAATGTAAGAAAAATGAAAACCATACATTTTAAATCAATTTAAAACATGCAAAATTCTGCATACAACCCGGTGAGGAAAAATTCAGTAACAAGAATGGACCACTTACTGTGTTTAGATGACATTCAATTATAATTCTCATCATCCCTAACCATTGTCTATGCTGATGGAAGCCTGAGTCTAACAGCACATACACAGATACACACAACAAAGTAATTCACCTCCACATTCTCTCCTTCATGTCCATGTTTACGGTCAACAGGTTTCTTAGGAAGCCAAACAAAGGACCGAGGAAAAAGATGGTCCCTACCTTGCCTAGCAGTGTCCAGTAGTGACAGTGGCTTAGAAACTCCTCTTAATCATACTGGCCACAACCCAATGCTCAAGTATGCACATGCACATTATTCTATGGTGATTAAGGTTAAATATCTGAATAGCCTGGATTGTGGCCTATTAATCTATCAGAGTCTACTTGCCGTGAGTTTCTCACAGCATCAGGTAGCACCACCGGTGTCAAATGACGGCCCCAGGGCACTGGCACAGAGCTTTCCATTATAGAAACACACCTGTAAGGCTGGATAAACATACTCAGAGTATTTATACAGCTGTGGAGGAGTACAATCATCATAATTCAAACGAAAGCACCACAGCTTGGATGAAGTTTAAGGTGTGGACTTGGAGCTTAAGTTGAAGAGCAGACCACAATGACCTCACTGTCTCGCTGGCACACAGAGATGGCCTTTCCAGGCAGAGGATATTTCCTTCCTCACATACACACACCTTCCTGGGTAAAAAATAATAATCTTACTAACATAATATATACTGTGTGTGTGTGTGTGTGTGTGTGTGTATACATACATATATACACCTATACACACGCACACATATACAGAAACACAATTATATTTAAGAAAAACAAAACACACAAAAATGCATTACAGAAATAACATACAGAAGAACATCTAACATCTAACTAAACTACCAAAAAACTACATAGACAAATATGACTTCTTAAGTAAGTGTTTCTCAACCTGGGGGTCAGGACCCCTGGGGGGATCATGAGGGGGATATCAGAGGGGCACCAAAGACCATCAGAAAACACAGTATTTTCTGTTGGTCATGGGGGATTTGTGAGGAAAGTCTGGCCCAATTCTATTGTTGTTGGGCTTCAGAATGCTCTTTGATTGTAGCTGAACTATAAATCCCAGCAATTCTCAAATGTCAAAGTCTATGTGAACTCCATCAGTGTTCACATTTGGGCATATTCTTGCCAAGTTTGGCCCTGATCCATCATTGTTTGAGTCTACAGTGTTGTAGTTCACCTATATCTCTGGATATAGGTGAACTACAACACCAAAACTCAAGGTCAATGCCCACCAAACCCTTCCAGTATTTTCTGTTGGTCATGGGAGTTCTGTTTGCCAAGTTCGGTTCAATTCGTGGAGTTCATCGTTCGTGGAGTTCAGAATGCTCTTTGATTGTAAGTTTAACTATAAATCTCAGTAACTACAACTCCCAAATGACAAAATCAATCCCTCCCCCATCCCCACAAGTATTCAAATTTGGGGCATATCGGGTATTTGTGCCAAATTTGGTCCAGTGAATGAAAATATATCCTGCGTATCAGATATTTACATTATGATTCATAACAGTAGCAAAATTACTGTTATGAAATAGCAACAAAAATAATTTTATGGTTGGGGGTCACCACAACATGAGGAACTGTATTAAGGAGCCATAGCATTAGGAAAGCTGAGAAACTCTGTCTTGAGTCATTGTTGTAATTATCAAATTAATAAACTTCCTCCAAATAATATCTTAATTGTGCTTCTACAACTAGCATGTTTCTGCTATCCCTTGAAATCCAATACTGCTAACTGTTACAAACTTTGATCAAATCCCACTTTTAGATAACATCGGCAGCCAAACCTGTAGCCTGGCCAGAATCATTTGGGCTTCTGCTTTATCATGGAGAAGCAGGCACAAGAGACTAGTTAAGTTCTTAATTTTCCACTTGGCCAAAGAAATACATTTCAGTAAAATGCTGAGAAAATTATGCAAGCAAATCAAAACATGGGAAATCTACGCCAGTATTCAGCAAACTGTCTACAAATGAAAAAAGCAAACATTCTCCCACCTAGAACACCCACAGACATCCATCTGGTTCTTTTCTAGAAGTTTCCCATCAAAACATCCATTAAACCTGATCTTGAAACAGAATGCTTGGGTTGCAAGTTCAAGATGGTGTGATAGCAGCATTC